AATATGAATGGTTTCTGATTAGGTAAATGATTAAGTAGCCAAAGAGAGCATCAAGTACTTTTGAATACCACATCTGTCAGCAAACAAAAGCAGATACAATTTTAGGGCAATCAAAAAGTTTTCCTGCCGAAGCCAGTTTGGCTCAGTGGATAGAGTGTCAGCCTGTGGACTGAAGGGTCCCAGGTTCGATTCTGGTCAAGGGCACATAGCTTGGTTGTGGGCACATCCCAGTGAGGAATGTGTAGGAGGCAGCTGGTCGATGTTTCTCTCTCATCAATGTTTCTGGCTCTCTATCTCTTTCCCTTCCTCTCTGTAAAAAATCAATAAAATATATATATATTTTTTTAAAAAATAGTTTTCATGCCTGACCAGAGTGGCTCAATGGTTGAGTTTCAACCTATGGACCAGGAAGTCATGAAGTCATGGCCCAGTCAGGGCATGCCCAGTAGGAACTATGCAAGAGGCAGCCAATCTCTTATCATTGATGTTTCTATCTCTCTCTCTCTCCCTTTCCCTTCCTCTCTGAAATCAATTAAAATATATATATATATGTGTGTGTGTGTGTGTGTGTGTGTGTGTGTGTGTATATATATATATATATATATATATATATATATATATATTTTATTTTTTTTTTAAGTTTTCCATATTTGTTTCTCAAATATCCTTTCCATTTCTTTTCTCCCTCTGAGTACCATCTTCTGTCAGCAATACCAGGTTAGGCAGTATTTACTTGCTAGCTTTCTAATTGTTCTTTGCAAATGCAAATGAGGATCCACTATCAATCCAAAAGAAAGAGAAACTTTTTTGTATGTGATACAGTGATAGACTCATCCCTGATGAGAAAAATATTATAGACTTACTTTCTTCATTTTTTGGAGTCAGGAGATAAAAGAGAGATTGTGGTTGAAATTATTTTTGTCCCATTATCTTTTTAATCCCCAGATTTTTAGATTTCAGAGAATTAGAACCATTTTCTGTGCCTATAGCTGGGCTATCATTATAATCACACAGCCAAGGGGATCAAGAGTTCCAGTTGCTTCAAGTGGCTCCAAAACCTCACATAGTCCAAGCATCAGAGTCAAGGAATATAGTTTTACTGCTCAAGGAAAGGATGGGTGAAGCCTGGAATGATGGTCTTTCTCCATCACATATGAATGACTGCATGAAAACCTACACACATTGTGACTGAGATGTCAATTTTGTGCCCTGTGAATAAGCTATTAAAGTGATGTCGTGCTAAAGCCAATCCTTTGGGAGAGTAAGATGATAGGAGAAAGGAGAGGCCACCAAAAAAAAAAAAAAAAAAAAAAAAAAAAAAAAAAAAAATGCCCCAGTTGTTAGGACATAAGAAGGTGCCTATGTGAGTTTTACCTAAATGCAGGATCTTCGTAAAATATTACACGATGTTAAGGGAAATGTATTACATGGGGGAAAACTAAACTAAACTAAAACCATGCTTTGGTTAAGTTAGAGCAATACTAATCAAAATAAATTATGTGAATTGCTTTACATTTAAGCCTAATTACCATGTAGCACAATAATGATTACATCATTATTTTTGTCAGATTAACTTTGCTCTAAATTTAATTACAGATGTGAATTCTAAATACTCCTTGTAATTTCGTGTTTTTAAAAAATTATTTATTGACCCTCTTCTACGTTCCAAACAACAAATCATATTGGGAATAAAAACCATTAGACAACCCCTGCTCCCATGGGGCTTACAGTCATGTTGAGGAGAGAGACAAGTACTGGGCAAATATCAAGCAGAGGAACTAACAATCAATACATTTTTAAGTAAAGTGAAAGATGGAAGGGGGATATCAACCTCAGAACGAGGGAGTCAGAACCAGTAGCATTAATCAAGAGAAAGGAAGAGAATGAGTTAGAAGAACTTTCAAGAAAAAGGAAGAAGAAATGTACTAGCCTCAGAAATGAGATACTTTAAGGTGAGCATGAAGAGCTGCACAGTTAGAATACAATGCAAGAGAGTCCTGAAACATGAGGTGAGTGAAATAAGAATGAACCATATCCAAAGAAGACTTCAATATCATACTAAAGAATCTGACATCTTAATGGCAATGAGAAATTACTGCAGAATTTCAAAAAGGAAAATGGCAAGATCAGATCTACATTTCAAATCAGATTTGGCTTTATTATGGAAAGTGAAGGAGAGCTCACACCTGGAGACATGCAGGTCCGTTAGGAGCCAGTTGAAATAACTGAGGGGACACATGCTGGTAACTTAGATTAGGCTAATAAGGATGAAAAGAATTAGATGTGGAATAATATTGAGAAATATACAGGTACAACTAAAATATCATAGTGATAGATTGCATATGAGAAAGGGGAGCTGGAGATGAACTTTGATTTGGGCAAATGCAGGGTGGTATGCATGGCAATTATTGAAATACTAGAGGGGAGAGTCCCTCAGCCCGGCCTGCACCCTCTGCAATCCGGGACCCCTAAGGGGATGTCTGACTGCCTCTGGCAATCTGGGACTACTGGCTCCTAACCGCTCTCCTGCCGACCTGATGGCCCCTAACCACCTCTGCCTGCCCGCTAATTGCCCCTAACTGCTCCACTACTAGCCTGATCTACCTCACCCTACACCCAGGACCCAGGATTCCCTCCCTCTGGCTGGTCACAGGCACCCGGGACCCAGGCCAGCTTCGCTCGGACTGGCTGCAGCCACAGGGGATCATGGGCGGGCAGCTTTGCCTGGGCCACAGCCACAGCCACTGGCACCTGGGACAACAGGGCGGGCAGCTTGTCCATCTCCCAGGCGGCAGTCTCAGCCATTGGTGCCCGGGACTGAGGGGCAGGTGGCTTGTCCCTCTCCCGGGCTGCAGCCTGGCTGGTTCCCATTCCTTTCTCCCCAGTGTTGAGTGTCTGAGCCATTGTTGTGTGAGGGCATGATGACCATTTGCATATTAGCTCTTTATTATATAGGATTCTACCAGAGATGTCTATTTAGAAGTCCCTCAGAAATACAGAACTCAGTTTGTCAAGAGAGAACTCATAATATCTAGTGATCTTCTGTCCTACCAATTAACAAAATAAAAAACAAAATAGAAAAACCCCACCAACCTATCTCTTCTCCTCTCTTCTATCCTATATAATAAAGAGCTAATATACAAATGGTCATCACAACATCACACCATTAACAGCTCAGACACTCAACACTGGGAGAGATGAATGGGAACCAGCCAGGCACAAATGAGCTCGCGAGAGTGGAATGGGGATCAGCCAGGCTGCAGCCCAGGAGAGGGACAAGCCACCCATTCCACAGTCCCAGATGTCAGTGGCTGCGGCTGCATCTGTGGCCCGGGAAAGGGACAAACTGCATGTCCCACAGTCCCGGGCGCCTGCAGCTGTGGCCCAGGCAAAGCCACCTGTCCATGGTTCCCTGAAGTTGCAGCTAGTCCTGGCGAAGCCGGCCCAGGTCCTGGGTGCCTGTGGCCGGCCAGAGGGAGGGAAACCCGGGTCCTGGGTGCGGGCCAAGCCAGAGGTGGTTATGGGTGACCAGGCCAGCAGGGGAGCAGCTAGGGGTGATCAGGCAGGCAGGTAGAGGTGGCTAGGGGCAATCAGGCAAGTAGATGTGGTTAGGGGTGATCAGGCAGGCTGGCAGGTGAGCAGTTGGGAGCCAGCAGTCCCAGATTGTGAGAGGCAGTCAGACATCCCCCGAGGGGTCCTGGATTAGAGAGGGTGCAGGCCAGGCTGAGGGGACCCCCCCATGCACGAATTTTGTGCACCGGGCCTCTAGAATCTTATATAATAAAGAGGTAATATGCTAATTAGACCAGACAGTGGAACAACATTCCAGAAATACCAGTGGGCAGGGCCACGGGGCAGCCCAGGCTGGGCTGCAGAGACCAACTCTTGCATGAATTTCAGTTGAATATAAAGTTCTGAGACAAAGGATAAAGATCTGAGCTTAGACCTTTATTTGAGAGATAGTGTCTTATATCAGTTGAAGCCATCTGATAAATAAAAAAGAGCTCTACCTAACATCAGTTGCTTAACCTGTTAAACGAGTGGGACCTATAAATACGTCAAACGTAAACACTATCGGGAACAGGTAGGACATATGAATACGTCCTTGAAATATATGTTGCGCCCTGAGAGGGACGGTATATATTTTTTGTAATCTTTATAATTGTTTGTAAAATTTATAATTTTTTAATTCGATGTTTCCATTTTTTTGTTGGTATTCTTTTCTATTTGTTTGTAATTTTGTATTTTCCTTTGTGCTTTATATATAAATAAACAAAAAAATATATATTTCATTTATTTTAATTTAGTATAAATAAAAAAAATAATAATATAAAATTACGTCCTCTGGGCGTGACGTACTGACACATCTTAGTGAAAGAGTATGCGCCCGTTGTACGTTGCGTAATTAAAAAAGGAACTCCCTAGTTAACAGGTTAAGGAAACCCAAAATTTGTAGGATAAGCTAATTAAGAGCAGACTAAGAATATAAATAGAAAGAAAACCAGGAAAACATATGATCTAAAGCTGCATTCTGGTTCAAATCCAGAAGAAAGAATAGGGTGATGAAACCTAGGTTTGGGATGATCCCAATAAGAAAAAAATTTAAACCATAGTAAAATCACTTGTGCCTTTTAAAAGACAGTGCACAGAAATACTGTATTTCATTAATAGGGCTGGGGCAGAAGGAACATTCCAGTATGAGAACTGAAAGAGAAGAGATTGAGAATTACCTGGGTCTTTGGAGGAATAAGATTGATAATTACCTGGGTGCAGCCTCTAAAGAAGTAAGATTGAGAATTATGAGGATGCAGCCTTTGGAGGAATAAGATTGAGAATTATATGGGTACAGTCTTTGGAGGAATAAGATTAAGAATTTTCTGGGTGTAGTCTTTGGACATCTACATAGGAAACCTATTTAGGGACTTCCTTGTGTCATGTTTTGTCACATCTATTTAAATTACATCAGAACCAAAATACATATTTGCATTACCAGCCCTTACCTTAAGAGTTCTATCTGTAGAACTGGCAACTTTCTCCTTTGGCTTATCCTACAGGCTGCCTTCTGAGAATCAGAAGAGAACAACCAACTTCGATCATTTGAACATGGAGCATCAACTAACACCTAGGGAAAAAGAGGAAACATAATGTAAATATGTGCTGAAAATACAACCTCAGACACAAAGTATATAGGGAAGCTCTGTAAAACATAACCAAATAAAGACATTTCTTTTAAAGCCAAAAATATACCATCATAATTCTTCTTTATGACAGTTCTTTATTAACAGTTTACAACAAAATTTCCTGTGCACTTTCAGTGTTTGGGTTTTTGGAGGAGAGAGAGATTTGGAATGGGGGGGGGGGAGAGACAAAAATCTATTAATGTCCCCTAATATTTCATATTCTTGACACTAAAGCAAAATATTGGGTCGGCAAGTAAGTAATTGCGGATTTTTTTAAGAAAATCAAAGACAATTTTTTCATGGAACTAAATAACTTTATTCTGTAATGTATTGCCCATTTTGATCAATGACCTTTTGCCATCTTTCAGGCAGCATCATAATCCCACGTTCAAAAAACTTCTGGTTTTTATTAGCAAAAAACTGAATCAGGTACGATTTGACATCATCATCATTATTGAAATTTTTACCATTCAAGGAGTTTTGTAAAGATCGAAACAAAAAGTAATCAGATGGTGCAAGGTCAGGACTATATGGTGGATGTGGCAAAACATCCCAACCAAGCTCCATTAATTTTTGCCGAGTGACCAAAGATGTGTGTGGCCTTGCATTGTCATGATGGAATACAACACCTTTTCGATTTGTCAATTTGGGCCGCTTTTCTTCAACTGCATTGTTTAATTTCATTAGTTGTTCAATGTAGACATCAGAATTGATCGTTCGGTTGGGTGGTAAGAGTTCAAAGTAGACAATTCCTTTGTAATCCCACCAAACTGATAACAAAACCTTCTTTTGATGAATATCAGCTTTTGATGTTGTTTGAGTTGGTTCACCTGGCCTGCTCCACGATCTTTTCCGCTTGATATTGTTGTAAACAACCCATTTTTCATCGCCAGTTATCAGTCGTTTTAAAAATGGATAATTTTCATTACGTTTCTTTAGCAAATCGCAGCTGCTAATGAGTTGCGTTAACTGTGATTCTTTCAGTTCGTGAGGAACCCATGTATCGAGTTTTTGAACATAGCCAAGTTGTTTTAAGTGATTTTCAATGCATGTATGTGATACATGAAGCTTCTCTGCAATCTCACGTGTTGTACTGTGACAGTCCGAATTGATTATTGCTTTGATTAGGGCGTCATCAACTTCAACTGGACAACCAGAGCGTTTTTCATCTTTGAGTGAAAAATCACCAGAACGAAATTTGGCAAACCAATTTTGACACTGCCGTTCTTTTAAGGCTTCGTCACCATAAACAGCACATAACTTTTTATGAGCTTGCGATGCGTTTTTCCCTTTGTGGAAATAAAAAATCAAAATATGACGAAAATGTTCCTTTTGATTTTCCATTTTTCAACGAACGCCAAACGAAAACTACAAAACAGATCAAAAAACTTTTTTTACTGATTAACAGCTGAATAGCCAACTATCAAATAACAAAATGTGTTTTACATTTTTACTATGTCTGCAAACCTAAAAATTCAACTGAAGCCATATATGTGTGAAACCCGCAATTACTTACTTGCCGACCCAATACTTTATAAAAGTGACTCATTTTAAACAGATATTATATTTCTGCATTCTAAGCATTTATTTTTAGGAACTAATATTTCAATTTCTGTTTACTGAAATGCTCTTTTTCTTCAACTATCATACTCTGATATGAAATGTTACCAAATCAGAGCAATACAATGCACATGTTTGTGTACTCACACAAGTAATATCTGATCTTTCCTAAATACCTTTGAGGTACCTGGAAATAAAAATCATTCTATAATCTCCAATCCCAATGTTACTGCTGCCTTTGAACCATGCTGCCCATCAAATGAACACTACTTCCAGGCTCACTTTATCAGAATTTCCCAGGGTACTAAGAAACTCTACCAGGCTCTGTCTGGAAACAGATGGAAAACAAAACAAAACGCAAACACACACACACAAAAAAAACAAAACAACCCACAACACAACAGTGGTATCACTGGGAGTCCATCAGTTTGTCACAATGTAATAAAAGTACCTTGTCAAACTTTTCAGGCTGGGCATCTCCCATTTCTCTGCCATCCAATTCAGACACTTTAATTACATTTTCCAAAGACTCTGGGATGAAAGATTCTAACGTCTGCCTCAGCCACCTCAATCTCAGACTATCATATTCATTGCAATGAAGATAACCTAAAGATAAAGAATTTAAAAGTTTTAAAATGAAAGCAATGGAAATGTTAAACTTCTACTTTTGGTTGACTAAATTTAAAAAGAAATAAATTTATTGTATTTATGCAGAAATAGGGCTCAAAGGTAAATATTATTCTTATTCTGAAAAAAAACAAAACACAGACACTCACACACACTACATAAAAATTAACAGTTTTTCTCTTATACAGCTTCTTTCAATATTTACTCATTCAAACTTAATTTTGGAAGTAAAAAGCCATATATACAACAAATACCTCAACTCTCCCTTAAAGCTATTAAGAGTAAATGACATATCCCGTTACATATACAGAGCTCCTTCCAGGACAGAACACCTTCATGTTAAAGAAAGAAAGATATGTGGTATGTGGGCAAAAGCATGTAAAATGCATTTATCACTATGATTAGAAAGACATGGGCCCAAGTTATGAGCTGTAAGACTTCAGTGGGTGATGTATAGAGACAGCATGGTTAAGCCAAACAAAGGGATGATTCACATCTGGGGCAGGATGGAGCAGGCCAGTGCAAGATTTCATTATGCTACTCAAAATGGAGCACAATTTACAACTTCCTGTTGATTTCTTGAATTTTCCTTTTAATATTCTGAGACCATGGTTAACCTTGGGCAACTGAAACCATAGAAAGAGAAAATGTGGATAAAGGAAAACTACTTTACAGAAGGCACTTAGCAAATGCTTCTCTCCCTAATAAAATCAATGTTTTATTATGCTATAAGTTATATGTAATACAATTATCCTATCTAATAAAAGAGTAATATGAAAATTAACCATCACTTCACTACACTCACAAGCCACGCCCACCAATCAGGTGTGGGTATGCAAATTAACCCAATCAATATGGCTACGGTCACTGAGAGAGCAGGAGTGAGGCTTGGGTTTCCCTGGAAATGGAGGAAGCCAAGTTTTCCGCACACCCTGGCCAGCCCAGGCCTCTGCTTAAGGCTACAAAGTTTCAATTATAGAAGATAAATAAGTCCCAACAGAAATGGCTGCTGCCACTGAGTGAGCAGAAGGCTTGGCTCTGCTCCAGGCTACAAAGTTTCAATTGTAGAAGATAAGTAAATACTAGATACCACTGCTTCCATATGGGTCACGGGGGGGCATGGCCAGTCTGCAAACCAACACAGGCCCCTTGTTCAGGCTCCCCACGCCCCCAGGAAACCCCCACCCTGATCTGGGACACCTTCAGAGCAAACCAGCTGGCCCCACCCATAGACCAGGCCTCTATCCTATTTAATAAAAGAGTAATATACAAATTGACCATCACTCCAACACACAAGATGGCTGCCTCCATGTGATTAAAGATCCTGCCCCCATGTGGACATAAGATGGCCACCACAAGATGGCCAGGAGGGGAGGGAAGTTGGGAGGGACCAGGTCTGCAAGGGAGGGCAGTTGAGGGTGATCAAGCCTGCAGGGGAGAGCAATTAGGGGTAACCAGCCTGATAGAGAAGGGAAGTTGGGGGCAAACAGGCTGGCAGGGAAGTGGTTAGGGGATGATCAGACTGGCAGGAAAAAGAGGTTAGGGGTGATCAAGAAGGCAGGCAGGCGAGCAGTTGGGAGCCAGCAGTCCTGGATTGTGAGAAGGATGTCTGACTCCCCATGTAGAACTGATCCCAGTGGGATCGGATCTCGAGGGGTCCCAGATTGGAGAGGGTTGATGCACACCTCTCCTGGACCCCCACCCCCATGCACAAATTCTGTGCACCAGGCCTCTAGTATAATATATATTTAAATAGAAGTACTTTTTTTATTCATACAGTATAAAGAAAACCTAAAACTCTGTCTTCAGATATCTGCCATTTAATATTTTGATAAATAAGAATACTGTATCTATTTATACATATACCAGCACAAACACACAAATAGAATTATATATCTGTGGTATCATTTTTTCATGTCATTCTTCAGCTACCCCTTCCACCAACTGCCCAACTACTCCATCAAAAGGAACCTATAGCCGGGACCAGTTTGGCTCAATGGATAGAGCGTCGGCTTGGGGACTGAAGGGTCCTGGGTTCGATTCCGGTCAAGGGCATGTACCTTGGTTGCGGGCACATCCCCAGTAGGGGGTGTGCAAGAGGCAGCTGATCGATGACTCTCTCTCATCGATGTTTCTAACTCTCTCTCTCCCTTACTCTCTGTACAAAATCAATAAAATATATTTTAAAAAAAGGAACCTATATAATTATTTATATACCCAGGATTGTATTTATACACATCTCTGCCCCCTTACTTTCCACATATGCCTATTTCAAAGGAAATACCATCAAGTCAAGAGAAAGAGATATAATTTTAAAAGGCTGCTAAGTCGTACATGGAATAAAGGTGTAATCCTTTATTCAATTATTACCAACTGTTATAATAATGACATTCACTAAACATCCTTGTTTTATTTTCATAATGTGCTTTTACTATTAGAGGTAGTACTAGAGTAATGGGTAGGTTTGAGTAGGGAAATCAATAGTTTTAGTAAATACTACTATCATGGCCCTCCACCAAATTCCCACAAGAAGTGTTATTATTAACCTGACATGAATGCAATGTGGTGTAATCCTTGATCTCTAACAATTGAGCATCTTTCCACTTGTCTATTCACCATTTGGCTTTGTTTTTCTGTCAAGTGTCCATTCTTAGCCTTTGTCCCTCTTTTTTTCCATTGTACTACTTATTTTTCCTATTAACAAGTAAAACATTTATTATAGTTATTAACCCTTTACCTGCTATCTGATTTGTAAACGTTTCCTAAATTATCTTCTGAATTCATTTTGAAGTATCTTTTTTAATATATGTTTCACAATATTCTTATGGTCAGTCATATCACTTTTATAATTTTGGTCTTATTTAAAGTCATCTTTTCACCGTTTGATTTTCATCTGATTTAACTAAACATTCAAGCAGACCACATTTGTCATCAACGTACACAGGACAGGAACCAGCTTACCAAGAGGGCAGGGTTAAACACTGCTCTTTCATGGAAGGCCTTCTGAGGTCCATACAGGATGAGCCTCACATTGGCAGGTGGAGCTGTCCTGCTTAAAAGGCTCACATCCCACAGGTGCCCATACCCCGTCTAACAACTCCACAGGCATAACTTCCAGGGCCCCTACAAGGGACATGCTAAGTTATAAGAACCACTGCACTTAGGGTTTATTTATTCTTCCTCCCAGTGTACATGCATTTTACCAATCAGGCTCATTTTTATCATAAGCAATGTTGCATAGAAACATAGGGACAATCTCTGCCAGGTTACCAGGAAAGCAAAGTAAGCGAACTAATTGAAGATGAAACTAATGCAGAGGGGGATAAATTTTTGTAAACCCTTTTCTCAAATACATATATGTATGTACACATGTATGTATGTGTATATACATCTCTATATGTTTAGAACATGAGTTGTCTTCTTTTGATTGTCACTCTATTGTTAAAAACTTTTAATTGACTTCCCACCATCCACTAAATAAAATTCAAACCCCTAGCCTTCAACTCAAGGTATGTAATACTGAAACCTCAAGTCAACCTTTCTACTTTAACTTCTCACTATTCATCAACATACTCTGTACTCTGTCAAATCTGGCTGACTAATCGGCTTCTCAAATATATTTTGTGCCTCTACTATAGAACTTAACATATTTTTATCTCAGATGGGAGGTGTTCAAGTGTATTGCTTACCTTTTCTACTACCAGGGCTTCAAATTTCTATATGGCAAGAGCTCAGGAGATGGCATCAATTTTGTTTAAGGGAGGAAGAGGTAGAAAATCGAGAGCTGCATTTGCCCGGTAGGATATTTTTTTATTACTTAGTTTTGATGTTTATTTTGGATAGTTTCTGGAAGATTTGCTAATGAAGCTTATCGATAGTTATCTAAAAGTTGTGTCTTAGCAAGGCATCTCTAGAACAATCTGCTAGTTTCTTCCTGTTTCCGCCTTTCCTTAGTTAATGTTCATTCCAAGTGTGGGTATCTCCCACACAGGGTGGGTTTGTGTTACCTGGCCCTTCCAGGCAAATGCTAGGAAGCCAGAGAGTGACAAGGTGAGGTATTTCAAGCACTCTGGCGTGGTCATCTCTGCTTGTCACTGGCCCCCTTCCAGAGGCTCCTCGATTCGTGGCAGTGGTAGCATTGGCAGCAGACACCTGTAGGAAGGCCGAGAGCCTTGGCTAGGTCTCTCCAGGCTGGAAATAAATCAAAGCAACTCAAGCTCTGAAGTGTGTGTGTGTGTGTTTTTGGGGGGCGGTGGGTGGAGGGGTGAGGGAGGGGGACACGCAAAGCCAAGCAAATCTGTGTGGTTCATAAACTGGGGCAAAGAGAGTCCCCAAAGTTACTCCCTGTCTCTGCTACTGCTTAGTAGGTACTAAAAGCCTCAAAGGGAAAAAACAAACAAACAAACACATCTTAATTATATTCAATTCTACTCCATTTTATGGTTTACAGATTTCAGTCTATTTCTAGTCTTTTAATAGTAACCCTTAAGGTTTTAACATGGATGTGTCAAAGAAAAATCTAAATTAAGTAAATCTTTACAATTCTTCCTAAAAGATACAAGAATCTTAGAACCCTTACCAAATTAGATGCCACTGTTATTATAAATGTGGTTTTTATCTGGGCTCACATTTTTAACTGCACAAAACATTATCATTGGCTTCTAGAGTTAATGCGTGCTAGATTTTCCCACCTGCTTTGCTCTTTATTTTTTGGTATCTTCTACCTTTCAACTAGGATAGAGTTTTTCTTTTTCCTGAAGCATATCCTTCATAATTGTTGGTAGAAAACTCTTCTCTTTTTCTCTTTGTCTAAAAAAAATATCTTTGCTCCTCTAAGATATTTAGGTGACTATTCTTCTGGAATCACAGTCATCTTTCTCAGCCCATTGAAAACATCATTCCTCTGAATGCTGGTTTCCCTTGTTACTCTCAAAGGTCAACTCTCAGTCTAACTGTTGTTCCTTTGCAGGTAAAATGTC